AGGAGGGAGGGAAGGGGATGAGGGAGAAGTGGTTGGAGCCGAAGGGATAAGAAGGGAAATGAGGGAAGTAAATAAGGGTGAGGAGAATGTAGATGAGAGCAAGGAGGGGGTGGAGGGGGGGAGGGGAGCGAGGGAAAGATGAGGAGTAAGGGTAGCTGAAGTAAAGGAGAGGGGAAAAGAGGAACGCGAGTAAAGAGGGGAAGAGAAGAGAGAGGGTAAAAGGAGGAGGGAGAAACGCTGATGCAAACAAAAACAGACGAAAGTGAGGAAAGGAAGGATGCAATTAATAACGGGTGAGGAGAGGCAGCTGAAACAGAATAAGGGGGAAGGGAGAAATGAAGTAAAAGGAGGACAAGGGAGGGAGTGAGAAACACGAACCGGAGCACAGGCAGACGGGAGTGATGAAGCAAGGAAGCATATATCGAGTGAGGGGAGGAGGTAGCTGAAGCGAAAGTGGGGGGGGGGAGAAGGGAGGGGGAGTAGGGACGTAAGGGGGAGAAGGGAGGGCAGGGGGAAAGGGGAGGGGGAGGGATGTTGAAGAGGGGGAAGGGAGGGAGGGAAGGGGAGGGGATGGGTGTCGGGAAGAGGAGGGGAAAGGGAGGGCAGGGGAAGGAGAGGAGGATAGGGGTCGAAGGGGGAAAAGAAAGGTCAGGGGGAGGGGGGGGAGGGGTGTCATAAAGAAGGGAAGGAGTGGGAGAAGGAGAGAGGGGACAGGGTGGGGGGGGGAGGGGAGTCGACCACACCATGGATGTCCCTTGGTGTTCTGTTAGCCAAATAGAATTTCAATTTCTCCGAGGGAGCATCTCAGCGATAAGATTATGCTAATGAGAATAGATTCGAACCCTGTCAATGAAATTCGCAAACAATTCGTACACTCTTTGTGAAATTGTCTTAGCGGATTTAAAGGACAATTTTAAGAAACCCAGGATGGCAAAAAGGTGTTTGTGTATGTATATGTGTGCGTGTGCGTATGTGTGTTGCGTGTGTGTGTGTGTGTGTGTGTGTGTGTGTGTGTGTGTGTGTGTGTGTGTGTGTGTGTGTGTGTGTGTGTGTGTGTGTGTGTGTGTGTGTGTGTGTTGTGTGTGTGCATACTTAATATTATATAAACTGATAAGCAAATGAACAAATAAACGGAAAATGTACAAAGAAATAACAAATAATAGACAAAAAACAAACAAATAAATCAATATTTCTTTTTTCTTTATTTTCATCTATTTCCTTTTTTTTTCAATTTTATACAAAGTGAGGAATTCAAATTGAACAAATTACGGAACATGTTTTGAAATGAATTTTGTAATCGTGTTTCGAGTGATGAGATGAGCTTTACCAACATGTAGAAAGTGTCATACCATTTTCCAAAAACATGTAAAGGAAAAAATATATGATTTGCAACAACGATAATGAAATGGATGGTGTTGATGATGATCGTGATGATGATGATAAGGAAATGGTGATGATGATGATGATGATGATGATGTGATGGTGATAAGGAGATGATGGTGATGGGTGATTGATAAGGAGAAAGGTGATGATGGTGATGATGATGAGGGGGATGATGATGATTGGATTGATGATAGGGAGGAGGAGGAGGAAGAAGAGGATCATGATAATGATGATGATGATGAGTAGGAGGAGGAGGAGGAAGAAGAGGATCATGATAATGAGGATGATGATGATAATGGTGATGATAATGATGATAGTGATGATGATCATGATAGTGCTGGGGATAGTGACAGTAATAAATGTGATACTGATAAACCCTGATATAGAAAACCACAAAAAAAGAACAAGAATAAAAACACCTTTATTAAGAAATTCATTACCCTTAACAAAACCGAATCCGGAGAGAAAGAGAGAGAGAGAGAGAGAGAGAGAGAGAGAGAAGAGAGAGAGAGGGAGAGAAGAGAGAAGAGAAAGAGAGAGAGAGAGAGAGAGAGAGAGAGAGAGAGAGAGAGAGAGAGGGGGGGGGGGGAGGAAAAAAGAGAGAGAGAGAGAGAGAGAGAGAGAGAGAGAGAGAGAAGAGAGAGAGAGAGAGAGAGAGAGAGCAGAGAGAGAAGAATAGAGAGAAGAAGAGAGAGAGAGAGAGAGAGAGAGAGAGAGAGAGAGAGAGAGAGAGAGAGAGAGAGAGAGATGAAGAGAGAGAGAGAGAGAGAGAAAGAAAATAACAGACACAAAGAGGAGAGAGAATGGCTGAACAACAAAAAGAAAGAGACAGAAAGAGAAAGAGAAAAAGAGAAACAGAGAAACCGCTTGGCTTAAACAGAATCCCAAACAAGATTCTTCAATTTCCCCATTTCTCTCTCTTCTCTCCCTCTCTCCCCTAATCTCCCCCCCCCCTTCCTCCCTCTCTCCTCTCATTCTAATCAGCGACACGCATTTTGATCAATTGTTTCCAATATCCGCCTTTTCCCTCTTTATCATCATTTCCTTTTGAATGATTAAATCGTAATTAATCTGCCCCTAATATGCTGAGTCATCGGGCCCTGATCACTTCGAATGC